ATTATAGAAACAAAAATGTCAATCGTATGTATACAAGTACTGTATAGCTTATGTATATTTACCATTCTACTCATATCACTCCTGTATGTATAGATTTTTCGTGTAGGTACCTATGCATAACTCGTGTATGAATTGAGTCACAGCTTGTGAATAAAATTCATGTAAGAATCATATATGAGCATTGATATATATATCAATAAATCTTATATATATATATATATAGATATATATATATATATATATATATATATATATTATATATATATATATATATATATATCAGATTGAACTCCTCTTGTGAAAGATTCATGCCTTAGAATGATAGGGGTAATCTGACAGCCATATATACATGTAATTTGCATGCTAACAATGTATAATTTGTAGATTTGCATATTGACAAGTGTTATAGCTCCTTGGTGTGTCTAGGTGACGATCGTGGCTGAGGAGAAGAGTAAGTACATCTGCTGGTCAAGGCCTCGCCTCAGGCACCTGCTGCACATCCGGCCCTTCCTCAGAGCCATCATACACAACCTCGTAGGTGAGTCCCGTCCCACCAGACTGTCTCTCCTGGCCACCACCTGTCACTTCTCCTAGCCTCGACACGGTCCTAGCTGCCACTCTTCTCCTAGCCTCGACGGTCCAAGCTTGCGGTCAACCTCTCCTAGCTTCGCCTGCCCCCCCCTCCCCCCTCAGTTACTTTTCCCTAGCCTCACCTGGCCAATATGTCACCTCTCCTAGCCTCACCTGGCCAATATATCACCTCTCCTAGCCTCGCCTATTCCATGCTGTCACCTGGACTGAATTTGCTACACCAGGTTTTGGTTTAAATTGAATTACGTTGCTTCTTGGGGCTTTCTACAGTCGAATAATGGACCTCGAGGGATAACACTCCTGGTTTTTATAGTACCGGCAACGCTGCGCCTCTCGCGAGACGCCCAGCAAGTTTAGAATATGTTTAAGTGTGTGTGAGTGTGAAAACACGACCCGACATGCCGTTACAGGTAAGGACATCACGACGAAGCTGTACTCGCTGAACGAGCAGCTGGGGGTGGGCGCCAACGGGGCGGAGAGCGTGCGCGGGCTCGGGGCGCAGGACGTGTGGCGGGGCGCCGTGCAGCGGTCCATGAGCGTGGACAACGTCCACACCGGCACCAAGGGCTTCGTCAGGTCCCTCGCCTGGCGCACCTCCAACAGGAGGACCTCCACTACCTACTGTGAGAGCGTCAGTGAGTATTTCTCGCTCCCCTCCTCGTCCTTCCTCACTGCTATCTCCTGCTTCTCTTCTTCCTCCATCATCATTCTCCTCCTATTATTTTTATTCGCTTTTCTGATTTTTCTACTGATTCTCCTCTACCTTTTCTCTGTTTTCGACTCCTTCTCTTCATCTTGATGTTGTGTTACGAACACAGACCCGTGGAAAGTACAGGTTTTAACAAGAAACAGTATTCTAGTGAGTGCAATGTGTTCTAGTGTACAAGGTGTTGCAGTGTACAAGGTGTTGTAGTGTACACGGTGTTCTAGTGAGTACAGAGCACCCTAGTGTGTAGCATATCACCTTAGTCTGTACATAAGGTAGTGGGGGCCAGTGGTCCGGTGTGTATATATTATCTTGTGGTCTTCCTCCTCCATCACCTTGTTGCGCCCGCTCGCAACGCTCACACGCACACGAACACGCACACGAACACGCACACGCACGCGCACGCACACACACACCACACACACACCACACACACACCACACACACACCACACACACACCACACACACACCACCACACACAACACACCACACACACACACCACACACCACCACACACACACCACACACACACACACACACACACACACACACACACACACACACACACACACACACGCACACACACATACACACACATACACACACATACACACACACACACACACACACACACACACACACACACACACACACACACACACACACACACACACACACACACACACACACACACACACACACACACACAACGCTATGAAGACTCAGCACAGCACCCAGTAGTACGCGCACATCTTAGAGCAGAGCTACAGAGCGTCTTCGACCACCACACACTTAGAGGCCTCTTTTTTTTCATCTAGCCTACGCACATAGCGGCCACTTAGTTCACACGGCCAGGTAGTGCACACACATAACTAGTTAAGTGCACCACGCACTGCTTCTTGTTAGTTCGTAAACAACCACTTGATGTACCAGCAGAGAGAAGATCTTAGACCGCACTTTAACGGTACGGTACGCATCTCCGACCTCCTCCTCCTCCACAGTCACCTTTCTACCAAGAGTTACGACTTCAGAGCTGACAAGCCAGGTCAGTGGAGGGGATTGTGGTGGGTGTGGGGGGGAGGGTGTACAAGGGGCCGGGGTGTGGAGTAGGTTACACAAGGTGAGGTCGAGAGAGAGAGAGAGAGAGAGAGAGAGAGAGAGAGAGAGAGAGAGAGAGAGAGAGAGAGAGAGAGAGAGAGAGAGAGAGAGAGAGAGAGAGAGAGAGAGTGTTTCACAAGGTGAGGTGTAGAGAGAGAGAGAGAGAGAGAGAGAGAGAGAGAGAGAGAGAGAGAGAGAGAGAGAGAGAGAGAGAGAGAGAGTGAGTGTTGGGGGGGGAGATAGATTACACAAGGTGAGGTGTAGAAAGTGATTTACACAAGATGAGATGTAGAGAGAGGGGTTACACAAGGTAAGGTGTAGAGGGGGGGTGGTGGGGTTATACACAGTGCAGGGACCAGAAACAGGATGTTGTGTAGCTCCTGCCACGTGTGACTATGTACTTCAATATTTGTAGATATTATACTCCGACACCTGCTGGACCTAGATTTATTAAAATTTAGATAAACTAAACTTTTAGATAAACTTTAGATAAACAGCCTGGTGGACCAAACTCTCACAAGTCAAGCCTGGCCTCGGGCCGGGCTTGGGGAGTAGAAGAACTCCCAGAACCCCATCAACCAGGTATCAACCAGGTAACCAGGACCGCCTCTTATCCATTGATTGTCTCCTTGTGAGGCATCCACTGCGCATGAGTGAATAAATGAGGGTGTGCGCGAGTGAATTTGACCATTATTAGACGACGTCTCAGATGGTGAAGGTTGTCGTGGGGTACAAGAAGGGTGGTGACCCGTGGTACACTCACTTACCCATGGTACACTTACCCATGGTAGTCACTCACCCATGGTAGTCACTCACCCATGGGTAGTCATTCCTCATGGTACAGTCACTCATTCCACAGTTGTCCCGTTTTGTACCTTCATTTTCTCATTTCCCTTGTTCACGTTGTGTTGACCCCCCCCCCCCCCCACCCCGCCAGCACACTCTCCACACCTCCCACATCTGCCACAAACAACTTCCCCCCCCCCACACTGACTTATTAAATATGTGCATAGGTGACATACTTAACATAATAGATACCCTTAAAAAGATTCATAGAAAACACCAACCTTACCTAACCTTGTTAGTATGTTAAGATAAGCATCTTATTGCTTCGTAATTACAATTATTACCTAACCTATAATAGGTATAGGTTAAGTAATAATTGTAATTACGAAGCAATAAGATGCTTATCTTAAGATACTAACAAGGTTAGGTAAGGTCGGTGTTTTCTATGAATCTTTTTAGGGGTATCTATTATGTTTAGTATATCACCTATGCACGTAGTTAATAAGTCAATATTGACTTTACGAATTTGCGAGAACGGGTTGCCCACACGCACGCACAAGCGAGGTGTGGGTGGAAGAAACCGGTGAATTAAACCGAGGTCACGCCACGCGTCTCGTCTTGAACGTGAGTTGAACAATTTGAATGACTGCCATAGTCTCTCCTTTGGCCTTGTAGCGTGTTGGTTAGGCTCCCCTTTGGCCTTGTAGCGTGTTGGTTAGTCTCCCCTTTGGTCTTGTAGCGTGTTGGTTAGGCTCCCCTTTGGTCTTGTAGCGTGTTGGTTAGGCTCCCCTTTGGTCTTGTAGCGTGTTGGTTAGGCTCCCCTTTGGTCTTGTAGCGTGTTGGTTAGGCTCCCCTTTGGTCTTGTAGCGTGTTGGTTAGTATTCCCTTTGGCCTTGTAGCGTGTTGGTTAGGGTTCCCTTTGGCCTTGTAGCGTGTTGGTTAGGGTTCCCTTTGGCCTTGTAGCGTGTTGGTTAGGGTTCCCTTTGGTCTTGTAGCGTGTTGGTTAGGGTTCCCTTTGGCCTTGTAGCGTGTTGGTTAGGGTTCCCTTTGGTCTTGTAGCGTGTTGGTTAGGATTCCCTTTGGCCTTGTAGCGTGTTGGTTAGGATTCCCTTTGGCCTTGTAGCGTGTTGGTTAGGGTTCCCTTTGGCCTTGTAGCGTGTTGGTTAGGATTCCCTTTGGTCTTGTAGCGTGTTGGTTAGGGTTCCCTTTGGCCTTGTAGCGTGTTGGTTAGGATTCCCTTTGGCCTTGTAGCGTGTTGGTTAGGCTCCCCTTTGGTCTTGTAGCGTGTTGGTTAGGCTCCCCTTTGGCCTTGTAGCGTGTTGGTTAGGGTTCCCTTTGGCCTTCAAGCGTGTTGGTTAGGGTTCCCTTTGGCCTTGTAGCGTGTTGGTTAGAATCCCCTTTGGTCTTGTAGCGTGTTGGTTAGAATCCCCTTTGGCCTTGTAGCGTGTTGGTTAGGATTCCCTTTGGCCTTGTAGCGTGTTGGTTAGGGTTCCCTTTGGCCTTGTAGCGTGTTGGTTAGGATTCCCTTTGGTCTTGTAGCGTGTTGGTTAGGGTTCCCTTTGGCCTTGTAGCGTGTTGGTTAGGATTCCCTTTGGCCTTGTAGCGTGTTGGTTAGGCTCCCCTTTGGCCTTGTAGCGTGTTGGTTAGGCTCCCCTTTGGTCTTGTAGCGTGTTGGTTAGGGTTCCCTTTGGCCTTGTAGCGTGTTGGTTAGGATTCCCTTTGGCCTTGTAGCGTGTTGGTTAGGATTCCCTTTGGTCTTGTAGCGTGTTGGTTAGGATTCCCTTTGGCCTTGTAGCGTGTTGGTTAGGATTCCCTTTGGTCTTGTAGCGTGTTGGTTAGGGTTCCCTTTGGCCTTGTAGCGTGTTGGTTAGGATTCCCTTTGGCCTTGTAGCGTGTTGGTTAGGGTTCCCTTTGGCCTTGTAGCGTGTTGGTTAGGGTTCCCTTTGGCCTTGTAGCGTGTTGGTTAGGGTTCCCTTTGGCCTTGTAGCGTGTTGGTTAGGCTCCCCTTTGGCCTTGTAGCGTGTTGGTTAGGATTCCCTTTGGTCTTGTAGCGTGTTGGTTAGGGTTCCCTTTGGCCTTGTAGCGTGTTGGTTAGGGTTCCCTTTGGCCTTGTAGCGTGTTGGTTAGGGTTCCCTTTGGCCTTGTAGCGTGTTGGTTAGGCTCCCCTTTGGCCTTGTAGCGTGTTGGTTAGGGTTCCCTTTGGCCTTGTAGCGTGTTGGTTAGGCTCCCCTTTGGTCTTGTAGCGTGTTGGTTAGGCTCTCCTTTGGCCTTGTAGCGTGTTGGTTAGGCTCCCCTTTGGTCTTGTAGCGTGTTGGTTAGGCTCCCCTTTGGCCTTGTAGCGTGTTGGTTAGGCTCCCCTTTGGCCTTGTAGCGTGTTGGTTAGGGTTCCCTTTGGCCTTCAAGCGTGTTGGTTAGGGTCCCCTTTGGCTTAGCAGCGTATTGGTTAGCATTGGCCAATACAGTCGAGGCATGGTGTAGGACAGCCAATGACAGGCCACGAGGGGACGGCGGCAGTGTATACGAAGCGGGTGAATGGAGTCTGTGAATGCTCCCCTCTACAGCCTATACAATATTTCTTTACTGATTTGACATTTGATATTGTCAGCCGAGGCAGCTGATTGTTGTCTCACAAATACGAAATTGTTTCTCTTTTTTCATGTTTTACTTGATCTCTCTCTTTTCTTGTTATTCTTCTTCCTCCTTTGTATTATTTTGTTTTCTACTTCTTCGTCTTCGTTATCTAAACTTATTTATTTCCTCCTTTTTATTATTATTATTATTATTATTATTATTATTATTATTATTATTATTATTATTATGTTTCATCTTTTTCACCTTTTCTCTCTTTATTCTTTCTTCTCTTCTTCTCTTCTCCTTCTCTATACCTTCCTTCCTCTTCTCGCTCTGCTTCTTTTCCTTTGCTGTTTTTCCTGTCCCAGCCCTCCGGCGTCGCCACCCTCCTCCACGCCTCCTGGGGTCCACACCTTCCTCTGGGGGTTCACACCTTCCCTGGGGTCCACACCTCCCCTGGGGTCCACACCTTC